GTTATTTTGTGTAAGAAGTTAAAACAGTTTATTAAAAGAAGTTAATTGGCGGTGTTGCCGGCGCGAAAACAATTTTGTATTCATTTTCTGAAGTAATTTTTTTTAAAATTTATTATAAATTGAAAATATATAGTCTGTAGTTATTTCGTGCCAAGTTTCAAACAATTGTATTAAATAAAGTTATATTGGAGATGTTGCCGATGCGAAACAATTTTTTTATCCGCGTTCTCTGAATCAATTTTGTATCATAAATGTATTATAAATTGTAAGTTTGTAGGTTGTAATTATTTTGTACCAAGTTTCAAAATAGTTTATTAAAAAAGTTGTGTCGAAGGTGTTGCCGGCGAAATTACTAGCCGCGAGGAACATTGTCGAAGCAATCGGTAGTATCGGATGTGTTACCGGTACTTATAACGTGCCTTCATCTCTAGACGCATAAACGTTTAGGATATATCGACGGTATATCAAAGAAAAATTAATTTATTATTTAGAAAAGCAACGTATGCAGTGTCGAGATATATCGACAGAAAAAGATAACAGCAGACCGAATGAAATATTAATTGCAAAATCTGTCTGAGAAAATCAATATATTTTTTTGTTATTTAAGATCATGTGAAATTCACGCATGTATTATATATGTATATGAACGCGTATATCACCTACAACCATATTTCAGCAACTTAAATAAACAGCAAAATATGACACTATGTTTTTACACTATGGTTACGTAAAAGTGTTTTAGTATACAAGTTTAAATAATAGTAAAAAACTAAGTAAAGATGTTTAAGCTTTTACACATGAGAAATTGCACTAATAGGATAAAGGTGCTTATTATGAGATAGTCGCCTAATACGAAATAGCAAACTATTTTATGTAAACGGCTACAAATTCATACACACTGGGTCTGATAACCGTCACGTCCTTGCCGTAGTCTCTGGGTAACGCAATAAACAAGAAAATGCAAATTTTTGTTTTATGATCATAACTTTCGATTGGAGAGTCGTAGCGAACTTTCTCAAAAAACATTTTTTTATCTTTAAAACACCTTTAAAATAAGCTCTCAGTTGACGTTTCATGCCATTTAAGATTTTTAAGTCACCTTCGTCTTTGTGCCTCAAGAAGGTAAGGAGTGAATGCCATTTTGCACAAAAAATAGCTTTTATGATCCTATATAACTTCTCTAAATTTCAACTTTCTATCTAGATTTGTTCAAAAGTTATGAGGGTGTATCTAGACTTTTGTCCACCCTGTATAATGTAACAGTTGTTATACCTGATTTATATTGGGATTATATAATTGTCTCTTATTTATGCAATATAACTCTGTAATGAAATATTTATATACTTCGTTACTTATTGACAACAACAAGATAACAATAATGTATATGTAATGTAACATGGTATATGACAAATTTTATGTCTGCGTTACTGTAATGTGACACTTTATATATGTAAATTTGGGCTGCTTTCCTTTTAGGAGACACAGTCGACACAAGTCGACACAAGAGTCTTTCTGTCTTTGTTTCTTACTGAATACTGAACGAAGACAGAATGACTTTTGTGTCGACTTGTGTCGACTGTGTCTCTTATAAGGAAAGCAGCCATGATCGAGTAATTTATTAGTGAATAGAATTTGAAGATTTTATATAAAAAAGGATTTGATACCTTCAGTACAAACTAGTATAGAAAATGAAGTGAAAAAGAACAGTCTCGTGATGTATATTTTATGAACATGTTATCGTCAAAGCCCGAAGCACGGACGTTCCTAGAATTGATTGGTCAATGCGGAACCAAGCGTCTTGGTCAAAGCCCTAATGGACATGTGAGACGTATAAAACATTTTGTTTGTATCATAATATATTATTGTACACGTGTGCGCGGGCACTTCTTTCCTGTGAAAACTTTTTTTTTTTTTTACGTGGTGGAAATCCATTACGGATACCCTGACCCTCGGGGGAGAGGGTCAGTGTTATGTGGGACTCCCCTCTCCTTCCCGCAAGAAGGAGGGGAGGTATACCCACTAAAACCACCACGGTGTGTCTATCATGCCCATATCAGGGAGGGACCCGGAATCCCTTGTGCAGGACTCTGCCGGGACCCTTCCTTGGGCTGCTATTCGGCTCTTCTCGGAGGGAGCACTTATTATTATCTCTCTCCCTCACTGTCCTAACTTTGGCGACACGGCGGGACACACGCCGTCGTGTCGCCCCATCCTGTGACCGCGTGCAGGACAAGCCAGAGCCCCCACTCTGACTCGTCGCGATCCCGCGGCAGTAAAGTCCCCGGGTGGGTTCCACCCAGGGCTGCCGCGTGGTCCTACCTTAAGTTTCCCCTTGACGGAGCGGCGGACTACTCAGGGGACCCGGCTCCCCAACCACGAGTCCGTCGCTCTGGGTTCCCTCCCCACACTTATGATGGGGAGGGAGTTATTGTCATCTAGGCCTTGGGCCCCGAGGACGAGAGCGGGAAACGGGCGCCCTGCCGCCCGCCCCCGGAGTCTCCCTAGAGGGAGAGGCAGTCTCTCCCTCTCTTTTTTGGCGTCCTCTTTCTGCTCCATCACGAGGGAGCAGAAGGAGACAACCGCCTGCCATTCTTCTCTCTCCCTGGAGGCGAGTGCCCGCAAAAAGCTCCCTAGGGAGAGGTCGTTCCCTATTACGGCGACCAGATCTTGGCGTTCTGGAGCCCACCGCGGACACTTCTCCACGGTGTGCTCCGCCGTGTCTCTGGCCGCTCCGCACTCGTGACATTGTGTCGTCGGCTCGCGTCCTATTCGACACAGGTACTCACCGAAGCAACCATCCTCGGTGAGCACCTGAGTCGTCCGGTAGGTGAGGCGTCTTATTCCTTGTTTCAACCACATTTTCAGGTGTGGTCGGAGAATCCCGACGACTTTCTGGGCGGCCGCACGAGGCTCGTCCAGAAGCTGCCCCCAACCAAGGAGCAGTTGTCGTCGGGCGTGGCGCCCCGACCTGGCGAGGGCCTCTTGCAGAGCGTTACCTGCAAGACTCTCCTGTTGCAGTAACTCGACCCGGCGAGAGTACCTCGCCGAGTACATGCCTGCCAAGAGGGCCAAAGGAGGCATCCTCGCCAGTACGCCCGCCGTCTCCGTGGCCACTGTTCGGAAGTCACTGATAACCCTAAGGGCTACTACTTGCTGGGCAGCGCGAAGCTGGCTAAAGTTGCTCCGCGCCCCCGCCCTCGCCGCGGCTTCCGCTCACAGCGGTGCGCCATATAAGGCCACCGAGATGGACCACGTCTGCAAACAGACGGCGGACTTGCGTCTTTGGGCCTCCCAGGTTCGGTTGGATACGCGCTAGCGCGTTAGCCACCTTCCGAACTCTGGGGGCCAGGCGAGCAAAATGCTCGCCGAAGCGCCACGTGGGGTCAAGGTAGAGACCAAGGTACTTGATGGTTGTACCTACCTACCTCGACCCTCGCCTCACTTACAGAGAGGCTGAGTCCTGCGAGCCGGCCACGACAGGGGCCATGAAACCACATGGCCTCCGTCTTGTGGACGTCCACTTTGAAACCCAACCTCTCAATGCGGCCGACGACACAATTAGTGCCACATTCTGCCAGCGCCCTGGTCCTGCTCCAATCCTCCCCAGAGGCCACAACTAGCGTGTCATCTGCATAGCAGATGACCGCCAGACCTCTGGGGAGGGCGGCCCGGATCATCACATTGTACCCGAGGTTCCATAACAGGGGACCAAGAACCGACCCCTGCGGAACCCCGCGGTACATTTCCCTCCTGTGTAGTAATCCGTACCGGCCAGTGTACCTAATTGCCCTGTCGCGGAAATAATCCCCGAGGATCCTACTCAGGTAGGATGAGACTCTGTGATAGTCCAGAGCCCACCCTATACCATCCCAGAGAAGAGAGTTAAAGGCATTGGAAATATCCAATGATACCGCCAACGCCCTCCCTCCATGCCTGACGTATCCGTGAGGGACTTGAGGCGGAACACGGCGTCCACCGTAGACCGTTCCTCACGGAATCCGTACTGGCAGTCGGCCAAGTCGGGGCCTACTCGCGACAGGTGCTCGACGAGGCGGCTGGCAATAATGCGCTTTAAGAGCTTGCCTGCCTCGTCGAGCAAACAGATCGGCCGGTATGCGGATCCGCAGGCCTGCCTCCTTTACGGAGCAGGACCAGTCTAGCCTTCTTCCATTTTGGGGGGAACCAGTTAGTCCTCAGGCACTCCGTAAAGATGTGCCTGAGACGGTCTTCCAGGGGACCCTGTCCGAAGGCAAAGCCCAGCACCTTGCCGGGCACGCCGTCGGGACCGGGAGCGGTGTTCTTCCGCGTCATCCGACGGACGGCCCGGCGGAGCTTCTCCTTTGTGACCCCCAAGTCGTTGGACTACTCTACTGGGTGATCGAACTCGGGCTCCCTGGAGGGCTAGTCCCCTCTTCCATCAGGGAAGAGGGTAGACACCACCTTTTTCAGGAGCTGGGGGTTCAGACTGTCTGTGATCGGCGGAGTCCATGGGCGCAGCTTACCCATTACCAACCGGTAAGGGCGCCCCCATGGATCCGCGTCTATTGTCTCGAGGAGCTCATCCCATGCTCTGGACTTTGCCTTTGCTATGGACGCACGCAGGGCTTTATGCGCAGCGCGATAACCCTCGTACGCCCTTGCTGCTCGTGCCGTCACGTCGCCGGTCTTTCGGCGACGGGCGCGAGTGTACCGGTTTTTGGACCGGACGCATTCAATCCTGAGATTGGCTATCTCGTCCGTCCACCAGTACACCGACCTCCGATTTGGCGGTCCACGGGAACGCGGCATCGCTGTGTCGTATATCGCGATCAGCGTTTCCCGGAACCACCGAAGTTCCGTTCGGAGGTCACGCGGCTTGGCCGGTGGTGCTGGTCAAGCCGCGGCATGAGCAGCAGCGGACAGGAGTTGTGGGTCCAGTTGTCTGAGGACCCACCTCTGGGATGGGGGTCTACTTTTCACCCCGCAGCGGCCGCGAGGGTGTTCAGGGAGCGTGGAGACCTTCATGATGATGTATCGATGGTCGGATAAGGTTTCCATGTTCTCCCTGACTTGTTCACACGGCGCACGGCGGACGGGGACGCAAGGGTTACATCTACAATGGACCCCCCGTCTCGCCTAACGCACGTGTGTCTCGTGCCCTCTTTGAGAACAACGAGGTTGCACGCCGCCGCGAGTTCTTCTAGGGCCCTTCCTCTGACGTCTGTCCTGGGATTGCCCCAAATCGTTGATTTGGAGTTAAAATCCTTCAGGACGAGTACCGGGCGAGCTCCGTATCGACGGATCGCGAGTTCAAGCTCGCCCAGATATGCCTCGAATTCTTGAAAGGGCCTTGTGGGTGAGAAATATCCTCCGATAACCACCAGTTCCCTCCATTTCACCGTCACATGTCTTCTGCCTTTCCCCAGCGGGGAGAAGACAGAGGATTCAGGGTTGTTGCTCCACCAAAAGTACGCCGCGACCGAGCCGTCCTCCGACCCCGACCACGACAGGTGATCGGGGACGTTGTAAGGCTCGGCCACGACCGCTAGGCACCCGTTCAACTTCGCGAGGCTTTGGACCATAAGATCCTGGGCCCCGCGGGAGTGATTAAGGTTGCCCTGGAGGATGATGGCTATTACGGCGTTGGTGGCACCTCCACCATTTTCTCCTCCAGGGTCCTACTGGTGGAGGGCTGTGTAGCCCGCTCCGCTGCCGCTGGCGATGTTTGCGAGACGGCGGCGGCTCCTTCCTGTGGGGCGGATTGCGTTCCATCCCTGTCGGCCTTCTGTGCCCTTTTCTTTCCCCCACGGGGGATTGGGGCACAGGCCTTCCCTCCTAGGCGGTGGGCTGAGGGCCGACCGAGGTCAGTGCACAGCGGGCACTTTGGCCGCAACGCACTGTGCCACGTGGTGACCCCGGTCACCGCACCGGTAGCACCGGTTCCTCCTGTCCTCCTCCGGCGTGGAATAAGTGCATTTCGCAGCTACATGTCCGCGCCGGAGACATCGATGACATTGCAGGGGCGGCGTTCCAGTACTTCTACTGGTGCCTGCACCCAGCCCACGTTTACGGATCCAGTGTCCGCGATCTTCTTCGCCGCAGCGATGGGACACTGGATCCAAGTCGTCAGCAGACCGCTGAGGGAAGCGCGAGCTCGGCCGACCTTGACTTTGATCGGCCGACAATCCCCAGCGGCTGCTACGGCCTCCTGCAGTTTGTCCGAGGAGATGGACTCGTCCAGACCTTTGACCCTTAGGTCACATGTCTTGATGGGTCTGGCGATTCTCACTCCCTCGAACTTTGTTGCCACGGCGGACATCGCTTCGTAAAGCCTCACTATCCTTGCCGGGGACCTCTATAATGAGGGCCCCGTCTGTGCCGGATCGTTTCAATCCCGCATTCTTTCAGGAGATCGATCTGCCTCCTCATTTCAGCCATCACTATCCCAATGTCTACTCCGGGACTCTTGGGGACGGTGAGGGTGACGGCCGCCGATAGAGGAGGCTTTCCAATTTTCGGCTGCGGCGCTCATTCGCCAGGTTTGGCCCTCGGTGCGGTGGCCTTTTCCTTTGCAGGGGGTGCCACCGGGGCCGCAGCCGACGGGCCTTGTGCCCGCTTGCCCTTCTTTCGCTCCACTACTTGAGACCACGTCTCTTTTGGCAGGGACGGAAGAGAGAGCTGGGTGGAGGAAGACCGTGGCGGGTCAGGCCGGGTCTGGACACGAACGACACCATCGCCCCTGACGCCATCCGGTCCCCCGCCCTTTTCTTGCCCTCCTTTCTCGCTCTTCTTCTTCTTCTTTTTACCTTTCTTATTCGAAGGGGGAAAAAGGCTTTCTTCTCGGGGGGCAGATGTGGCGGCAGCAGGGGTGCTGACCTCCTTCTTTGTCCTCTTTGTAGGAGCCGCGCTGCTCCTGGTAAAGGCCAGCAGGTTGCTGACCTTCTTGTCTGCCCCGAAGGATGGGCGGGAGAGCCGGTGATGGAGATGCTCCCAGAATATGGAGAGCTGACTCTTCATTGCGTCTTTCACGCGACTCTCCACGTCCCTGAGGGACCTTGGTCCCTCCGTATCTCTGCCAGTGGGCGGTCTTGCGTCGCGGACTCCTCCCGGTGCCCGAATCGTCGCATGATTTCCCCGCCGGCTTCTTTCTCCGCAGTCGCGGGGGAGGCTTCAGACTGAAGTCCTCCCGGTTCTATAGGTGGTGGAGACGTTACAGACTCCTCCACCTCCATGCCCGATGGGGCAGCTTGCGTCGGCGGTGGAAGCAAAGCCGGGCGGCCAGTTGGCCGGCTCCGGTCACGGCTCCTCCCCTCTTTCAGCCGCGCCATTTTGAGGGACATGAGTTCCTTTCTCATGTCCCTCATTTCCTCGTAGAGGGCGTCCACCTCACCCTGTAGGCGCCCCTTCCCTGTGAAAACTTAACCTTTTTTTTTCGCGCAGGGGAAATGCATTTACGCACACCCTGACCCAGACTAAATGTGGGCCAGGGTAGTGTGGGACTCACTTCAACGGAGCGCACCCCGGTGGGAAATACCCACTAAAACCCCTGCGGTGTCCACCTTCTGCCCTTTTAGGGCTGCCCCGGTACCTCTTTTAGAACAACCCAGAGGGAGCCCGATAGGCATGGGGACTTTCGCTCTCCTGTCCTTAAATGGAGGAGCTTTGCTCCTCCACGATCGGGGAGAGGGGGGACACAGCCCCTCCCCCGCCGTCTGCAGGCTGAGTGCAATGAGGGGAAAATTTTTCTCGGCCTCAAGTCAAACGCCGAAGCAGACTTGACCCCATGATAGTAGTATTGACCTCCCTATTGTCTCGAAACGCGAGACAAGAGGGAGGTCTTCCTTCAACACTGCGCCCAGCCACCGCTGAGTTGAGCTCAACTAGGGCTCAAAACAACGGGGACCGGACTTCCTCTTAACATTGCCTGGTCTCTTAAAGGAGAACCAGGCACCACCTACTATATCTGGTGCTTAACGCACCAGATATACGGAGGAGCTCGCTCCTCGGATCCTTATATCGGAGCCAGGGAGAACCGCATCCTCCCTACCCTCATCAGGGTTTGCTAACGGGCACGGGAGCCCCCCGGCCGATGGCCGAGCACCGGGCCCCGCCCATTCGGTGGGAGGAGTCCCGGCCTGACTCCTCACAGAGGGAACACCTCTCATCCTTTATACAGCCGGCCCCTCTGTGCCCCGGCCGACCACAGCGATAACAAAGATCACTGCGGTCGACCTGGCTGAGACACACAGCCCTGCAGTCGCCAGGCTGGAAACACCTGTAACACTGCAGGGGGCGGGGGCGGAGTGCTCGCACCTTCGCCATCACCCAGCCCATCGGCAATCTGCCTGCTTTAATCGTCTTGGCCGCCGCCTCAGCTAAGCAGCGAACCAAGGTGACTCCACCCACGGGCTGGGAGCGACGCAGGGATACTACCCTAACGCCACTCCCGCCACCGGACTCTGCCACAAACTTTTTGCGGAGATCGTCCTCCGTGGTAAACTCGTCCAATTCCGAAACTAATATCTCCACATTTCGGGATGGACGAGCCACCCTAACTTCTTCAGAGAGTTTCCCTCAACCTGGAGGCGAGGAGGTTCGCTAATTTTTTTTATGAGGAGAAATGCATTATGCACTCCCGCCCTGTGGGGATTTGGGCGGGGAGTGTGTGACTCGCACCCACTAAAACCTCTCAATGGCCTCCACCGGACTCAGTGGGGGAGCCTGTGGCAGCCGGAAAGCTATTACTTCTCCAGGCCCTCCCCTAGTCCAAGACTTGTCCCCAAAGAACAACGCCCCCTATCACCGTTGCCTTTGGGGTTGCGGGAGGAGGAGGGGGCCTTTCTCAAGCCGCCCCTTCCTGGAGACTTGTGCAATGGCGTGGCAAGTTCCCCAACTTGCCACACCAAGTCCCCGCTCCCCGTGACCAAAGTCAGGGGGGGTCAATACAATATTTTGTACCCTCTACCCGCGACCAAGCAGCCCCTGGACAGGGGCTGGGTCCGGGGGTCACGCCCGAGCCGTGACCCATCCACCCCGAGCACGGAAACTGCCTCCAAGTCGAGTTTATTTGCTCGACGGAGAGGCTGACTTGCCTCCTCTCTGCTGCTTGGGGGAGGGCTCCTTAGTGGAGCTTCCCCCTGAACCCGGTGCTTTTTGCGCCGCACCCTTAATTGTCCGGGGCCCAGCGACTTTTCCGTCTCTGGTTCCGGCCACCTTCCTTTTGGGGAGAGGGGGAGGCACCGCGCCGTCTCCACCTCTTTTCTCCGGTCTCCGATTTATCCCGGAGACCGGAGGGCCCTGTACTTGGGGCGGAGGCCGCAGCGGCCTCCCCCCTTTCTTCCGCGGCGGGCTTTGTGCCTTCAGAGGAGGCAGACGGGAGAAGAACGTCCCCTCGCCCTCCTCCGGCCACAGCCAGGCCAAGCTCTCCACCGGGGAGAGGAGATAAACCCCCTCTCCATCCTTCTCCCAGCCGGAGGAGTCACCGCCAGACCCGGCACTTCGGGCCCGCCGCTTCCTCCTCTTTTTCGGAAAGGTCAGGCACCGCCCCCTCCTCGCCCTCCTTGCCACCGAGTGGCAGCGGAGGCGCCGAAACTCCGGCGCCCCGCCTGGTGGCTACGTTTTTCTTCGGCATGGGGGCGCAACTTGCGTCACCCATCCGATAGTTCGCTGGCTGTCCCTGGCTCGCACACAAAGTGCACTTGGGGGCAGCCCTACATGTGATGGCGAGGTGGCCATCCCCCCCGCATCGGTAGCACGCCGTGCTCCGATCTACACCGGAGCACTTGCGTGCTACGTGTCCGTACTCGAGGCACCGATAGCACTGCATACGCCGTGCTTCCAGCGCCTCGACGGGGAGGCTAAATTACCCCACCTCTATTTGTTTTGCTCCTACGACCCGCCGGGCTGCCCTCAGGGGCATACGGGCCCATAAAGTTCCGTACTCGACGGGGGAGGAGCGAACCAGCCCAGTGCGAACCTCACTGGGCTGGCAATCACCCGCCACCGCTAATGCGGCAGCAATGTCCTCCGCGGAGAGGGGGGCATCACGTCTCGCACGAGAACTTCCGCGTGCTTTACGGGACGGGTGAATTTCACCCCCTCTACGCCCTCAAGTGCTTTTGACGTCCTCTCAACGAGGGCGTCGGCCTTCTCCGCTCCTCCAGGCCCGGGTACCTGGAGGAGCATGCCACCGTTGGCCGTTCTCTTTATCCGGAGGCCGGAAATCCCGACCTCCTTCAAATTGATGGCGGCCGCCGCCTTCTTCATAACCTCGGCATAACTGCCGCCTTTCCCTACGATAAGGAGGACGGCAGCCCCAGTGGGGACTCTGCCGAGCTTTGCCCTCTTCGCCGCCCCGGAGCGCTGACTCGCGCCTACGGAAGCCGCGGGAGGGCGACGTTTCTCATCGGGAGGATGCTCCCTCCCCTTCCTCCGCGCCTTGCGCCCCACCACCGTCGCCCAGGTGGTCGGGGCGGGTTCGGTGGCGGATGCGCCCGAGGATTGAGGGGCGAGCTCTTTCCTAATTAGAGAGAAGATTCGCCCCTTCATTGCATCCTCGATTTTGTCCGCCAAAAGGCGGACA